GAAGGAAAAAGGTAAAAAGTAATTTAAATAGTAACAGCAATTCTGGCCAACATCCCATTCAGTAGGCCAACACCCCGGAGCACAGGTGAGACAAGAAACATGAATCCATTTGTCTCAATTCCCACAGACCTAGATAAGGGAAGAGATGCAAAACCACACACATTGTACTTCACGGGCAACTCCAGAGACTGGAGGGTATATATTTTTTAAATTTTATTTATTTATTTATTTTTGGCTATGTTGGGTCTTCGTTTCTGTGCGAGGGCTTTCTCTAGTTGCGGCGAGCAGGGGCCACTCTTCATCGTGGCGCGCGGGGCTCTCACTGCCGCGGCCTCTCCCGTTGCGGAGCACAGGCTCCAGATGCGCAGGCTCAGTAGTTGTGGCTCACGGGCCTAGTTGCTCCGCGGCTTGTGGGATCCTCCCAGACCAGGGCTCGAACCCGTGTCCCCTGCACTGGCAGGCAGATTCCCAACTACTGAGCCACCAGGGAAGCCCTGGAGGATATTTTTTGACTCTTATTTTCCTCTTATGAGCTGACCTGAGGATTTACTTCTGCAGAGAATGTATAAGGTACAACTCCGGTGCCTCTGAACTCTCCTGCTAAGCATGAAAATGGCTGGACATAAGTATATGACCTCAAAGGGTCAAGGATAGAAGGCAAGTCTCCTGTGGAAAGTAAATTAGCAAATAGATTGCTCTATCCCACCCGCATGGTATCTTAAGCCACAGAGACTCAATGGGGGTAAACACGAGGCTGCGCACTACACCTGGACGACCACTGCTCCCTCCCTGGCAAGCATTCTCACTGAGTAGTCGGGGTTAAGTCACTGGACTAGTCCTCAATGCCCTCTGAGCAGGACTGTAGATCATACCTGGTCTCCAGGCTGGCAGCCTCCTGAAGCATCTCCTCCGTGACCGTGTCTGTGTGATAAAACTCTCTGAGCGCCTGCAGCAGCTCCTCCTTTCGGTGCGCAGGCAGGCCCTCTGCGTTGAGCAGGGCCCTGGCCCCAGAACGCACCTGCCGGCGCTCAGGATCTTCCAGCAGGCGCAAGCCCTCCTCGGAGCCAGTGGGGGCCTGGAACTCCCTGGCCAGCTGCTGCTTCAAGTGGTTGTCATAGTAGTTGGAGATGGCGTGGCAGGAGGTGCAGAGCAGCAGCACATCGTGGGAGTTGTGGTCCTTCATCTCGATGGGAAAGTGCTTCCGGTACTCATGCGGAATCACGTTCTTCCTAAAGAGGCCAAACAGAAGGCAACGCTCATTAGCACATGACACAGAACATACACGGAGTCGGCAGGCAGGCAGGCAGGCTACTAGCGTTCTGATCTGGGCCTAAACACAACTGAGGAGCTTGGGTCCCACGGCCCAGCAGAGGTGACATAAAGGCCATACCACCAGGCTTCCCTGGTGGCGCAGTGGTTGGGAGTCCGCCTGCCGATGCAGGGAACACGGGTTCGTGCCCCGGGCCGGGAAGATCCCACATGCCGCGGAGCGGCTGGGCCCGTGAGCCACGGCCGCTGAGCCTGTGCGTCTGGAGCCTGTGCTCCGCAATGGGAGAGGCCCCAACAGTGAGAGGCCCGCGTACGGAAA